AGATCTCCAACACCAGTTTTTTCTGCTCTCTTTGTTGCTCATTTGTTAGCTACTGCACTGCTTATTTATGGCTAGCTAGGACTGTCCAAATACCGTACATCTTCTTAAATAAAGTGAAGAAGAGTTTCCATTATTTTGCAGTATATTAGAGAACGTGAGCTGGGTTCTAATGTACACTCCACAATGAAATATTCTTTCTTTTTATAGTTGATTTTATTTATTTTGCTGTTTTTAAAATACGAATATGGTAGTTCAGAAAGAAAGCTTGTCTTATGATAGATGCAGTGATAGTGAAGTTTTAGGGGCAGAGAAAGCCAAGTTAGTTCTACTGTTGGCATGGGAAAGTAAGGATGAGCAATATTGGTTGTCGTGGAGGATGGGGATTATATTGGAAATTAAAGCTACCCGTATCTGGAAGGTGGCATTCATTCAATCGGCCCTTTTTGTGCTGATTCAGGTAAGTGCCTAGTGTCCACAAGCAGTCCCAGAAATTTCTAACTGACAGAACTTATATAAGCCCCTGTAGACTTTAGAGGTCCAAACATGGAACACCTTTACCAGTTAAAGTATAACTAAAGGTAAAACATTTTTTTTTCAGTTTTGGATAGACTGCAGAGCGATTAGAGCACCTGTTAGTTTTTATTGTTGTCTGTCATTGCCCTGTTATGGAGGTTTAACCTCTCTATTTTTTCCTGTTTACTACTATCATTGATAGTGAAAGTTAAAGGAAATCCTAAAATTTTGGGTTGTCCTCAGAAAATAGAGGGAAAATGTTCCAATGGGAACACTAGTTCTGGTGACTTGGCAGTCCCCAAGGAATTCCCTTAATTTGCAAGGATTTCTTTTTTACTTCCTGTTTGGCTATGGGACAGAAAGTGAAAGGAAATCTCCACAATGGGACACAGATGGCAAAAAAAAAAAAAAAAATCTGATGGGTTATTACCCTTCCAAACTCTATCCAAAATGCAAAAAAGATTGCCTATAATTCTACTTTAAGCCCCGTCTTCCTATCCAGCTTTGACCCCCTATTGTAGCATATCATTTGACTGTTCCTAACACCCATATGAACATTTGTTACATTTATAATCCATTCAGTTTTGGCCAGCGTGAAAATATAATTTTTCATAGTGTACCCTGTCATCAACTGGCATGGTAAGCTGGAACTTGTCAATTACCTTTCTACACCCTTTTATCTCCTTTCTGTCCCTTCTCATTTTATTCTTTCACTTTTTATCTTCACACTGTAGACCTGTTCTCATTTAGCTTGATTTAGCCCTGAAACCATCACCCCACCCTCTGGGAGTTTTTGGCTAGAGCCCCTTAACATTTGTTGGGCTAAGTTATTTTGTTGATGATCCAGTGTTGCCTATACATTTAAAACACCTGCAATGGTGATTATACCATTGCTGACTAAAATGCTGGGTGCCTTGCTATTTTGTCACTGAGTTCAGAATTTCCCATTGATCCAAAACTCCAGCTTGTAAAAAAACTAAACATTTAGTGCCCAGTATCTTTAAAAAGAAAAAAAAAAACCTTTTTCCAGTTGCAATACTCGCCTTCTCTCTGGTGCTGCCCAAGACTAACCGATCCAGCAATGCTTCAGGGTTACTTTTCCAAATTGCATGATGCCCAGTGTCATCTAGTTTACTTCCTTTGAGCCCAGAGTATGAACAATCTGCCTGCCACTCTGAACTTGCAGGGGAATTCTGCAGAGAGTTAGGCCATTGGTTTCCACAGTATTCAGAATCCACCCACGCTGGAGGAAAAAGGAGTGATGAGCACCTGTGACTCCACCCTGCCAAATACACCTGGAAAATAAATATGTATATACTGTAGATCGGGGGGGGAATTCTGGTGAGCTTGTAGTTGGGCTTTCAAAATTATATTAAAACCACAAACTCTCTCTGATATATTTATTGAAACAGATTAGCTGTTCATGAAAATATATCCATAGAATATATAAATTATAGATAAGAGGACATAAGTGTACATGTATTCTTTGAAACATATTCCTTACCTTTTAGTTATTTTATAAAATAATAGTCTTTAGCAATATGTAACATAAGAAAATGTAAATAAAATATCTGCCTAGCCTTTAAGACCTAGTTTGACGAGTATCACATTAACCAATCATTTAGGACATAGCAATAGCTAAATAGATTTTCATTGGGAAACCCCTCCAAATTGGATTCAGGTGTTCCATTCACTTCCATGGCCACAGGTATATAAAATCAAGCACCTAGGCATGCAGACTGCTTCTAGAAACATTGGTGAAACAATGGGTCACTCAGGAGTTCAATTAATTCAAGCGTGGTTCAGTGATAAGTTGCCACCTGTCCATATGTTAAATTTCCTTGCTACTAAATATTCCACAATCAACTGTTAGTGGTATTATAACAAAGTGGAAGCAACTAGGAACAACAGCAACTCAGCCACAAAGTGATAGGCCACATAAAATGACAGAGCGGGGTCAGCGCATGCTGAAGCGCACAGTCTGCAGAAGTTGCCAACTGTCTGCAGAGACAATAGCTAAAGACCTCCAAACTTCGTCTGGCCTTCAGATTAGCACAACATTGCGTTGAGAGCTTCATGGAATGGGTTTCCATGGCCGAGCAGCTGCATCCAAGCCTTACATCACCAAGTGCATTGCAAAGCATCGGATGCAGTGGTGTAAAGCACACCGCCATTGGACTCTAGAACAGTGGAGACGAGTTCTCTGGAGTGACAAATCATGCTTCTTTATCTGGCAATTCGATGGACAATTTCTCGTCCAACATCAGTGCCTGAGCTCACAAATGTGCTTCTGAAAGAAGGGTCAAACATTCCCATAGACACACTCCTAAACCTTGTGGACAGCCTTCCCAGAAGAGTTGAAGCTGTTATAGCTGCAAAGGGTGGGCTAACTCAGTATTGAACCCTACGGACTAAGTCTGAGATGCCATTTGATTTTATGTGTGTGTAAAGGCAGGCGTCCCAATACTTTTGGCAATATGGTGTAACTCAAGTCATTATATGGATCACTCCCTTTGGATCTAAATCCTGCATACTTAGTATGCTGGATGATCTAGACTTAGAGAAATTTACAAAAGAGACTATAGTAAGGACCTTGTTCCAAGCCCACAAGCTACTACTGGTCCATTGGAAGTCCGAGGAACCCACTCCACCTCCCGGTGTCACAAACAGGAGGGCCAGGAGGCGCCAGCGCCAAGGAGTTAAGCTATCAGGTCTTATATGGCAATGCGCTGGTTCTACCTTTTTAATAAAACTTATTTTTGGATTTAAAAAAAAAGTAATTACCGTATTTTTCACTCCATAAGACGCACCTGACCATAAGAGGCACCTAGGTTTTAGAGCCAGAAAACAGGAAAAAAAATTCTGAACTAATGGACTGCAGACATAGTACAGGACATGACCAGAGACTGCGGACACAGTACAGGAGATGACCAGAGACTGCGGACACAGTTCAGGGGATGACCAGAGACTGCGGCCACAGTACAGGAGATGACCAGAGACTGCGGACACAGTACAGGAGATGACCAGAGACTGCGGACACAGTACAGGAGATGACCAGAGACTGCGGACACGGTGCAGGGGATGACCAGAGACTGCGGACACGGTACAGGAGATGACAAGAGACTGCGGACACGGTACAGGGATGACCAGAGACTGCGGACACAGTACAGGAGATGACAAGAGACTGCGGACACAGTACAGGGATGACCAGAGACTGCGGACACAGTACAGGGATGACCAGAGACTGCGGACACAGTACAGGGATGACCAGAGACTGCGGACACAGTACAGGGATGACCAGAGACTGCGGACACAGTACAGGGATGACCAGAGACTGCGGACACAGTAGAGGGATGACCAGAGACTGCGGACACAGTACAGGGATGACCAGAGACTGCGGACATAGTACAGGGATGACCAGAGACTGCGGACAGCACAGGGATGACCAGAGACTGCGGACAGCACAGGGATGACCAGAGACTGTGGATAGTACAGGGGGTGACTGCTGACCTTTGGGGAGGGGGGGGAGCTGGTACCTGAATTTGACAGATACCCGCTCCCACTTCCGCAGAGTTGTTCTTTCATCTGACCTGTTCCTCTATCCAGCCGCGCGCTGTCTTCCCGGCTTCTGTAATGGCGCTCGGCATGACAGCCGGGTGCCCAGTGCGCATGAGCGAGAAGCACTTGCGCTTTGTGATTGGTCCGGCGGCTTCTGGGATCTGTCATGTGTCCCAGGTGCCGCCTTTCCATTCACAAAAAGCACCGCTTCCTGCGCATGCGCACTTGGCACCCGGCTGTCATGCCCACACTACAGAAGCCGGGAAGACCGCGCCGCTGGATAGAGGAACGGGTAAGATGAAAGAACAACTCCACGGAAGTGGGAGCGGGTATCTGTCAAATTCAGGTACCCGCTCCCCCCCTCACCAAAGGTCAGCAGTCATCTCTATAAGGTCCCGCTGTAGAGCTGAGCGGCTCCATATTCGCTCCATAAGACGCACTGACATTTTCCCCCCTTTTTTTGGGGGAAAAAAGTGCGTCTTATGGTGCGAAAAATACAGTATATGGCTTGTGAGCACATTGTCTGGTGCATCTGTAGGGCCCATGTAAAGAATTGTATTAGGTCTATGCACACTGGGTTTAAAAAAAAACTCTGCTTCTACAGGAGTTTTGCATTTTGACTATAGAAGCTCAATGTCATCCTATGTGTTGATGCACTGTATGATTAATAATGGCATAATTTAAGCTCAGCGTTAACAGGCAGGAAAAAAACCCAGCTGGTTTGTGTTTTTGAAAGGATTTTTCTGGCAGAAAAAACACAAAACACTCTTAAACACCTGTATAAAAACGCTGTATATGAGTGTTTTTTTTCTGCCAAAAAAACTGGAATTTTTTTTTAAGCCCAGTGTGCATGGACCCTGAATCTGCAGAACTTGTATTATATGTGTTTACTAATCTTACACATCTTTCAATATACATAGGAGCAGACCATGTGGGCTTGTCTAGCAGCATTGGCTATTGCAAACAAGGAGATGTCAACAGCTGAGGTTGCATACGCAGCAATTGGTGAAGTAAGGAAGTACACATAATTACTCCTTAAATACCAGCATTATCTTGATCTATGTTAGTGTTTTCTGCAATCTTTTATTTTTTTTGCAGATTGACAAAGTTCAGTACATAAATTCAATTAACGATCTACCATCAAAAGAATCCAGATTGGCTCACATCCAACTCTTCAGTGGGAATTTTCAAGATGCTGAGGCCATTATCCTGCAGGCTGGCCTGATTTACCAAGCCATCCAGCTCAACATTGACTCCTACAACTGGGAGAGGTAAAATACATAGAGAGACTACGTGTGTAACACACTTGTGTATAGTTCACTGGACATGCTTCAGGGCTTAACTGTTACAAGGAGATATTAAAAAAAGGAACAAACCTCATATTATTAGTGAATTATTTAAAGTATCTCAATGCATGTAAATGTTTGTATATTCTCTTGGCATTCAGCTACTTTTCATTTTAAATACAGATCTGTAAAAATGTAAGAAATGAACTAAAGAAACGAAAGTCACACTTTTTTTATACCATTTTCCTGCACTTTTAGACTCCCCTGTAATAGCATGCTAGGTCATTTTATATTTTATAGGTTTTTATATTTACCTTATTATCTTTGCCCCTGTCATTAGAGAGACAACTCCGTTTACACCTGCCTATCCACAGGAATACATGGACCTTCCCATAAGATCCGCCTGAAAAACTGACAGGAGGACTTGATCAGATTGCCCATGTGAAAGGGCCTTCTATTTAGGTGTAAATTTTATTGAACAACCAGTTATTCATTTGTTTGAAAAAAAATTCTAACACACATTTCTAGTTAATAATTTGTTGAGTCTAGAATGGTTTGCAGCCTCGTATACTTCCCTGAATCCTTACAAAGGCAAGTTAGTGTTTTTTTTCATTTTTTAACCGACTTTCTCCTCCTTGCCTCTCTAGTGCCATCAGAAGGGCTTTTCTCAGTATTCAAGCTGTCAGAACCAGGAGGCAGAACCTACCTCAGTTCCTTCAGACACATAGGGGTTTATTTACTAAAGCTGGTTCACTTACCCCTGGTTCACATATCCTCGTTCCTGCGGTCTGCGTTTTGCACGGGCACGAGAGCCCATTCATTTGAATGGACTCCCCTTCCCCCGGGACACGCAAGGAAGAGGTCCCTACATTTCTTCTGAAAACACAGCCCGCACGGGTTGCAATTTCCAGTGCGGGTGATGTGCCATTAGAATGAATGGCATTCGCCCACGGTTCTGCATTCCTCTGTGCGGGTGGTGCGGCTGCATGGATTTTTGTGCGGATCTGCAGCGGCACCACCTGCGCAGATGTGAACCTATCCTTTGAATATGGTGCACTTCTGCATAGAAACTAATCAGCTTCCAGGTTTTATTGATAAAGCTTAATTGAACAAGCTGAGGTTAGAAGCTGTTTGGCTACTATGCACAGCTGCACCAGATTCTGAGTGAGCCAGCTTTAGTAAATAAACCCCATAGTGTGGCCAGCTATGAGTGGCATTAGGAAAGAAGGTCACTAGCAGTGCCAATGCTGATAACCCTTCCTCGTCAATGTGCATGTCACTGCAGTGCCCAGCTAGGTGACAATGTGACAGTGAATTCACTGCAGTGTTGTCCCCCTGCTGGAGGAAGGGGAATTAACTAGTAGGACCACCAGGTATTTATTAATGAAAACGGCATCAAAATAAACCATGAACAGCAAATTTGTCCACATTGTTTATAATATATATGAGCAGCTTTTTATTGATTAGGCATAGTTGTACTGTAATGCTTTCTCTTCCCAGAAATCCTAGCTCTGTGTAGCATAACTGAAAGGGGGGGGGGGGGGGGGTTTTCTTTTTTAAAATGTTACGTATAGGTATGAGCTTGTGCCAAGTTATAAATACTTTTTACCATTGTATCATTTGGATACATACTTTTCTATAGTTCAATGTACATTTACCTGGGCAATCAGATATTTGTTTAAAAACATTTTACACATTTCTGGTAATTAAACTATTTTTGCTGTTTAAAATATTTAGGTTTATTTAGAAATGTAGCATGGCAAGAAGATATGATGTCATGTTTGCGATTTCATTTAGGGCCCTGGAGCTAGCAGTGAAACACAAAACACACATGTCGATACTGTGTTGGCTTATCGGCAGAAGTATCTGGAGGACTTTGGTAAAAAAAAGAAACAAACAAGAGATTTCTGCAATACACAGAAGGTGTAAGTAGATTCCTAAGATAATCTGTTTCTTTAATTAAAGGTATTTGTACAGTAGCGACAATATGTGCAGAGCTTTATATATTGTGCATTCACATCAGTCCTTACCCTAAGGGAGCTTACAGTCTAAAGTCCCTTTCTCACATATTCTGGCCTATTTAGACAGGAGCCAATTATCCTATCAGCATATCTTTGGAGTATGGAAAAAAAAAACTGGAGTACTCGGGAGAAACACACATAAGCACATGCAAAATCCACGCAGGTAGCGTCCTGATCTGGATTAGAACTGAGAATCCTAGAGCTGTAATATAGGATAATAACTAAAGCCAGACACAGATGGATTGAATCTCAGCCATTTTAGCAGGGACCATCAATCAAGTTCAATACAACCAGCCTTTTGTATTTTTTGCATGCGAGCACTGCCGGTGGCTATAGTCACCAGCGGTAATCATTGTGTTCTGCCGGAAGTGAAGGCTTCCTGTTGGCAGAATACAATACTGCTGGGGGAGGGGGGGTCCCCCTCAATACTGACTGTGTTGATGGGAGATCTAATGAGATTCTTTCCTGAAACCTGTGTGTGGGAGTCACGTTGGGTGGGGGGCCAATGGAACCCAGCTCACTTTGGAGAGGTATTGAGACCCCTATCTCAGCTCCCCATATCCCTATTATGTGTAAGTCACCCTGTTAGGGTACAGGGTGATCTGTCCTAATATTGTGTAAATATGTCTAGGAGATAGGTGGGGGTTGTGGATTGTTTGGTGTTGTGTGGCTGCATCCCATTGTTCTATTGTTTGTTTTGCTTGGGAGCAAACTATTATGGGATGTATGTTTATGTGTATTAGCTTAGTGGGGGGGGGCGGGTGTCTCCAGCAGCCCTCCCTCCTGATGGGACTACCTGCTGGTGTGAAGTTTGAATACCTGTGTGTCTCTTGTTACTAAATGTAGATTGCCCCACCCTGTGTCATTATGCAGGGAGGGGGGACTGTCCCCTGAGTGTATATATCTTGTATCTGTGTTCAAATAAACTAGTCTACCTCCTGGTTTACGTCAAAAATGGTGTCGTCTAGTCTTGTATGGTCGGCTGTGGTGTCTGTTGTCGGTGTTCTGACGGGGGAAGAGGTATTCTAACGGTATTCAAGTGCAGTCTGAGCTGGTTCCGTTACACTTTAGTGTAGGAAAGAAAATTGCATCGACTTTTAGCCACTGTATGACTAACATGCTGCCCTAAACAAATAAGATCTCTATGCAGTAAGCATTGCTGGCACTGCCTACACGTGAAATAATGATGTTTACCTAGATAAAACAGTCGACACAGATAACCAAGCAGAATTCAAAATAATTTACAGCTGCCCCCAAGTTTCTGGAGTAGTTACTTGACTTATGTTTAGAGCTCTGTTAAAGATTTTTGAAGGTAGTAAGTTTACACTGAGATAAACTGGTACTCAGTTAAAGTGACACTAAATGATATTCTTGTTCTCCAAAAATTATCCATACACATCCACTGCCTAATGGTCCTGTAATCCTTTTTTCATTAACTTTTCTTACTGTGTTTTTCTGCCTTCTTGCAACTTCCTCCATAAGCTCCATAATGTCTCCTTTTCCCCCTAATTACCGCTTGGAACAGGCAGTGCATTTTAGTTGTGGTCATATGCACTGTTCCATGCACACTACAGATCTCATAGTCCCCCTAGACCCTAATCTCTAGTCCAATCTGGGGAGCAAGTAACAGGGTGGCTACATTCCTACATACATTGAAACCATGGAGAACAGACGTAGCTTCCTCTAGCAGGAAGTCAGATAACAACTGCTAAAAAAGGAATTTGAAGGAAGCTGAGAAATAGATGGTACTTTATTGAGTTAAAAATACTTGAATATATATATATATATTTTTTTTTTTAAACCTTAGTTTAGTGTCGCTTTAATGTGTTTAACCTTTTAGTGCAGCCAGCCTTTTCTAAATTGCCTGCTGCCGTGTGATTTATGCTCAGCAAGTGATCTATATGTGACTTAGCCCATAGATAAGTCCGTTTTTTATTTTTGTTGTGTTTTTTTCCATTCAACCAGAGGGTTGAACTAAAAAAAAAAAACGTACTCAATTCCTCCATCCACACATTTGATGTGGATGGGGGAATTCTAGCTGAGCTATTGTATTCTGACAGCAGGGAGACTTCCCCGCTGCAAGAACACACTGATCAGCTTTGCAGGCTATAGCAGTTAGAATCCTATATCAGGCAAGAATATCGCAAGATTCCTATACCAAAACTCCATCAACTGGTCTCCTTAGTTCTCAGACACAGTGTTGTTAAAAGAAAAGGGAATAATACACAATGATAAACATAGCCCTGTTCCATTTTTCTTAAAATGTTGCAGACATCAATTTCAAAATTACCTTATTGTTTTTTCTTAAAATGGTCCATTCACTCAGTTTAAAACATTTATTATGTTTTCTATTGTGAATAAAATATGGAATTATGAGATCTGCAGATCGTTGCAGTCTGTTTTTATGTACTATATACTATATAAAAGCGCTGAGCAAACTGTTGGCGCTATATAAATCCTGTATAATAATAATAATAATGTACTGTAGATTTTAGACAGTGTCCCAAAACCTTTTGGAATTGGGGTTGTACATCCCAAGAGTCTGCAGGAGGGAAGGGGGGGGGTTTCTCAGCTAAGCACACCCTACTTTCTGCATCTGCATGCCTCAGCTAAGGGCAGATGTATTCCAAGAAGAAAATGCTACATGAATCATTTGCCCTTACCCAAGATGGCCATGGCCAGAAATGATAGGGATTGTTTTCCAAAGTGATTTCTCAGTAAAATAAAATATGGACATATGGATGGATGAGGGAGTTTGCTTTGAATATTTAAAACAAATTAAATAGCACTTTTGCTTTGTATGGTTCAGATGCAGTGTAGCTCTGCTTTAAGAAACTGTGAGGTTGCAATATATAAAATCTATTCTTGGGTTTAGATACAAAATTGACTGGCGCTCTCTTGACTATACACTATGGCAAGGGTGTGTGAGTAACAGAAGTAGCTGAACAAAATCACAGGTAGTCTTCCCTACACTTACCATGCCCCATTACTAGCTGTTCACAGTGATAGGTAGCAACATTAAGGGTGAGTAGAAGAGTAAGTAGGTAAGTATCAGCTTTTTATCACTAAGGATCACTTTAAACACCAAATTCTATCATGTTAATTTCTTGCCTTGTACTACTTTGTCCCACCCTTTTCACAAAGCAAAACTATACTTGTTTTGCTCCAGCGATGTGGCATCTCTGAGCGCCTCTCCCAGCCACTGACATCTTTGGGCGTCCGGCTTCCAGGTCCAGGGAGTGACGTCTCTCCCGCACATGTGCGGGAGTTCAGTCAGATTCGGTATTGCTGAATATGTACAGTGAGCTGTGCATGCGCGACTCGGTGTACAAGGGTAGACAGGCAGGTAAGCATGTCTCCTCTGCATTACAATTCCTGCCCGTTTGCCAATTTCTAATTTTGGCCCAAAGTTCCACTTTAAATTATACATCCTTCTGTTTTAAGTATCAAGTAATGTCTCAATTACAGTGATCACTCTAGTCTAGGCCTTTATCAGGGCAACATATTATCATCAGTACTGATCAAGTCACATTCTGTCAGTCCAGAGTGATATAATTTTATCCTCCACTTCTCGCATTTATACAGCTCTAATCTTCCATCTTTAATAAACTCTCCATTCGGCTGCGAAGTGCTGCAGTAATGGAAAGGTTATCTCTTTGATGTATGTTTAGTTCACTGTGCTGAATGCTATAAAGATCTGCTAACTATTGACTTTCCTGAAATACTCCCTCATGTCACTGGGCTTCAAACTCCTCTCACACTTTGCTGGGGCAGCACTCTTCCTGATTCTACACTACAACAATAAACTAGAGTATACATAAATTACAAAATCGAAGAACATCGTGAACTACCTGTGCAAAAACTAAAAAACTAACCTCAATATACAGTGCTTCAGTTGCAAACTTAATTAAACCTTTTTCCATATTTTGGGCAAAAATGCATTCTTTTTATTTAATTTGATATAAGTATGTATGTATGTGTGTGTATGTATGTGTATATATATATATATATATATATATATATGTCATCAGTCTTGGTGATCTTTTAAAATACTTCTACTGTAATATAACTACCGATATCCATGTATATAGTGTATTGTCTTACCTCTATACCTGGCTTAGGCACAGGAAGCTGGGCAGGGGAGGTATTGCGGCAGCCTACAGTGAAGCACAGGGAAGACCTCTATAGTGTAATAAGAGCCTTTGTATAGTTGTAGCTGAGGCAGCTATAACGGAAAATAGTGGTGTCACCCTGTAGTTATGTAAATATATATGAACTCTTACTGTTCTGTTTTACCTTGGTGTCCCAGGATTCTTAACTGAATAATTTGTGACAGACATCAAATGTACTTAGCAGTGAAAAATTATTCAGTTGGTCCACTGTTTTATGTATGTGGTGCCCAATCAGCCTCCTTCCAAAAATTGTGAAATTAGGTGTACTTTTCTAGATTACGTATTTTAACTCTTAAAAATGTGTAATTCTTCAAAAACATTTGTGTTTTTTTTTGTACAGGTTGAAGTAAACTGGGAAAAAATCAAAGCCAAAATTGAGATGGAGCTTGCGAAAGAGAGAGAACGAGCTTCTGCTGGGCCTTTGACCAGAAGCAGTGTTTCCATGTAGCATTACAAAAACATCATTTACAGTTTGCCAAGCGAACAACTGTGTACCAGTTTAGAGAAAAAAAAACAATCTGAGTGGTTTTTCATTAGAAAATGACACCAGGCATCTCTTCCCTGGTGACCCCAGAACATGCATCCACTTAGTACAGGTATGTTTAAAGGTAATATTCCCAAAGGCTGCTGGTCTTACCATGGTTCTTTCTTGTTACTGATCCAACAATTTATGACACACTAAGCAGTCTAGGTCCCAATGGCTTGTAGCTGCATTAGTCTGCACCCAGGCAGGAAATATTTGGCAGCTAAACAAAAGCAGCCATGGGCACAAGAAACCAAGCAGTGACCAGTGAGAAGGTTGAGATTACACCTACCTTGCTGAAACTCTGGTGGAGTTTTTTTTAATGGTCATATTAATGTTACAATAAAATAGCATTACTCCCTTAGCTTCATATAATCCTTCATATGTGGTAAAAAAATTTTTAGGGTCCCTTCCCTCCAGTGTTTAGCAGTAAAGCGCAAGTAACCACAACACAAGGCCACTCATTCAGCACACTAATACCATTCATTTTCAAGGCACCTCAAAGCTTTAAAGAAGTGCACCACCTTTGCAGCACACCGTAAAGCACTAAAAGTCATTGCATCAGAAGAAAAGGTGCATGCGCAGGGTTTTGCCCATTTTGGTGCATTTATAGCCCATACAAATGAAAATTGAAGGGTGTGAAAGGGGCATTAAAGACTTAGTTCAACATCTTTTCCAGTTACTAATTTATTTTGCACTCCTCATCTAGGTCTACAGCCACATCATTGTAACATAGAATTTACCAGGTCTTATTTCACTAAAGCTTTATATATTACCTAAATATAAGGACACCTAAATGTTTGCTGGATATCATGTTATGTAACAGTTCATTTATTATAAACAAGTTTTAAAATACAGTATAGTGAGAGTATATAGCATATAATTGCATGATGTACATACTTCTAGGAAACTGTTAAGTTGCATTATGTTTTTGATCTAGTCTTGTTTCTTGTATAAATTTAAATTATATTTTGACTTTGACAACATGCAAACCTTAAATGTTATTTATGATTATGTATATTTTGGACAAAAGGTATTTTTGTACGTTAACTACAAATAAAAAACATCTAAACCAAATGTTAACCTGATATCTAAAGCTTATTACAGCTTATTTAAAGCTTATTACAGGTTATTACAGTATATACATTATTTCTTAAAACAAAATTGTGTAGGGCATGAAGGTAAAAAAAAAAAAAATTTCATTTGTGCTGCTCCCCCCACAACTCCCCCTAATATTCATCTGAGCCCCATCTCAATCCAGCGATGTGCATGGGAGCCTTGGCTGTCCCGGGTCTCTATGTCCTCACTGGCTAAGACACAGCAGCAAAAGCCATTGGCTCCCACTGCTGTCAATCACAGCCAATGAGGAGAGAGCGGGGGCGGGACCAAGCCGCTGCTCTATGTATATTATGGATGCATCTAATGGAAGGAAAGCACTGAGGTTTGGAGGAGTGGTGATATGCAATGACTTGGTGTAAGAAAAGAAGCACGGCAAATTTTTCAAAGAGACTTTTATTTCATATGGGACACAAAAGTATGCATGGTTGCACATATCTATAGGCACAAAGTTTATGTAAGAAGTGCTACACCATTTGTTTGATTTATATTGTATTTATATTGTATTTAAGACACATATGAGAGTTTTGATTGGTGGGAGTAGAAACTTTTTTGATTTTATTAGAGTTTTTGGGTTACATTTATTGCAGCACACAGGTTTTACATTCACATAACAGTTTATTTACGTGCCTTTTATTCTGTCTCTGATATAGTAGTTAGTCACACTCTACTGGACTCTTTTAGTAATCCAGTCCAATTAATTGTGACAAACTACTACTAGCTGTGCCTTGACCTGAATAAATGAAAACCTTTGAAGACAGCTTTCTCAGTGTTCTTCATCTAAGAGTCGGTCTTTGTTTTGTTTTTTTGGGGGTTTTTTTTTAACCACATAGTGATGTTCCACTAACATTTTTCATTTGGAGATCTGGCAAAAAATTTAACCACGCTTCCCTTCCCTTCCATTCCCTTTACCCGTTATAGTTTGTAGTGTTTGTCTATCAGAAAACAAGTCATGCGCATACTTGATCGTTTTTGAAGCAGTGCATTGTGGGACTTAAGACACAAATTTGAAATTTACAAGACAAGTATAATGGGGCCCAGTCATAAGTTCCATCCCTTTTTTTTTTACCAGCTGTGTGGTCTATACCCTGTACGGAATAAAGGAATATGTTTGCGTCACAGCGGGCAGAACAAAAAACCCCTAACATCCAAGCTAAACAATGTGTATGGACAAAGTTGCAGTTCCAGCTATTATATTGTGTTTGGCCAACAATTTTCTGCCTGGCTCCTTCAATTTTTCAATTATCAAAGGATGTCGGGTGGGAGGGTGCCAACAGGAAAATTAACAAAGTGAATTTTGACCAATTTATCAGGAGCTGGCCAAAATGTACTCCGTGTATGGCCAGCTTTAGTGCATAATTATTGGGTAGTTCACAAATGGAAGGAAATGTATTGGGTGCAATGGCTACTTTGTTGCATTCTGAGCTTTTCTTCCAAATGAGACCACTGGAAACTGAAACACAGACATGCAAATAGCTACTTATTTTGCATATTTATGACTACGTTTTTGTACTCTACCAAGTGCTCTCCATTGGCGAAGATATTAGAGTCTAAATTTAATTTTGTTCAAATTTGCCAGCCAAAACGCTAAATAGAACCCACGATTATTGTATTTAGAAGGGAGACCAGCACACCCAAGACTATATGTCTATGGTTTTCCAGGGGGGAATAGGCGGTTTGTGCTTTGTTTTCAGTATACAAGACCTTTATCCGACACACCAAGAGTTAAACTGCTTAGCAAAAAAAACGTAGAAAAAACATGTCTGAAATGATACTTTTGGGCCACTGGAAATCTTTTATTTGATTATAGGTTTTATCCATGACTCACATGAATGCAGATGGAACCACAGATTTAAAGTAGGAAAATGCTGCGGTCAGCTTCACTTCATTGGGCCCTAGAGCGCAGTATTGTTACAAACTCATTGATATCCCAGGGTTAATGTGTCCTCTGATGTTTTCTCCATGCAGCTTTACATTTATATGCAAACTGCTATTGTACTTAAATACCTTTTAAGAATTATTCAATAGAAATGTATAACTCGGGATTAGGAATTCTAATTACTCTAGCTGTTGGGAGCTACAATTCCTATCATACCCTGCTGGTACCGTTAGTGTAGGGTATGCTAAAACTTGTAGTACTGGACAGCAAGACGGTAATGATATCTTGCAGGTGGAACAAATCTTTGGAATAGGAGCAGGTTTTTTTTTTTTTACAATATATACTTTATTATGTGGTTAGTGAAAAATAAATGAAACTGTTCCATTACACCTAGCAGGTTATATTAAAAAAAACACTGATTGCTTTTCCAGCTGCTTATAAATAGAAGTGAACAGGATGTATGTTGCTGGGCTTTGTACACAATTGTTTATTAAAGAGTCTATGGGGCACACTACTGGCAGGCACACGATTCATTTAGGAGGGAAAATGATATTATAGGCAGTAGGTCTTAGTGGCCCATTATAAGTTATTTAAAATCATTCTGAAAATCCATAACCTTAAAGAACAATAATGGAAAAAAGAAACATCTTTGCTTTCTCCTTTGATATTTTTTTTACTAATTCTTTAAATATCTGCACTATAAATCATTTGGTTTATTTTAGGAGAAGGTAGAGAGATGACTGCAACCTGTCTACCATTTTTGCAGCCTTGGAGAATGAACAGTGGTTAAAGAGGAGCTCCAGTCATTGTGCACACATTAGGCCGGTAGCTACAAATACTGTAGCTGCTGACTTTTAATATACAGACACCTACCGGTCCAGGGATCCATTGACCATCCAGGCTGGTTCTTTGCGGTCTACCAACCTGTCTACCACTTTTGCAGCCCTGAATGTGGAGAAAAAAACAGGGGTTAAGAAGAGCTCCAGTCATTGTGCAAACAATAAGTTAGTAGCTACAAATACTGTAGTTGCTGACTTTTAATATACAGACACCTACCGATCCAGGGATCCATTGACCACCTAGGCTGGTTCTTTGCTGTCTACCAACCTGTCTACCATTTTTGCAGCCCTGAATGTGGAGAATGAACAGTGGTTAAAGAGGAGCTGCAGTCATTGTGCACACATTAATCAGTAGCTACAAATACTGTAGCTGCTGACTTTTAATATACAGACACTTATCAGTCCAGGGATCCAACAACCACCTGGGTTGGTTCTTTGCTGGTCTTCGGGTCATCGGTGTTGTCATGTTTACCAGAGGTTGTGACTCTCTGGTGTTTCACAGTTAACTTCCCCCACTGTGCATGCATGAGACACTTTATGCTTTCTGAGTGGTTCCGCAGCCTCCTGGAACAAGTCACATGTCCCAAAGGTTGCAGGACGGGAGGGGTAGGCTGAAGTTCCATTCAGCTCTCCTAGGTGAACAGAGTGGAAGTGGGAAAATTTCTAGAAATAGAAAGCTGCTCCCTGGGAAAAAAGAAACCTTCGAATACATGTGGGGGGGGGGAGGAGGATCAGCATAACTTGCTTTTTCATGTATAGTTCCACTTTAAGGGTGTGATGTTACAGCTTTAGGTAGATGCCGGAGAGATAGATACTCTAATCCTCTAATGTTCTTTATGACCTGTGTGTGTTCCAATGGTGAGCAAGGGTAAAGTTGGCCATACACTAGTAGAGCTTTGTTTGAAAATTTAAATTTTTAGGATGTTCCTTCCATTTTCTAATGTTTAGTGGGGTCAAATCCACATTTGGTTTTAACCACAGTGACAAGAAAAGCGAATAAGCAGGATGGAAATTTTCTTCTCAATCAAGCAGATTTTTAACAATGTGGTTTTCATTCCAAAAAGTCAATTTGTTCCAAAATCATATGGTAA